AGTGGATTGTAAAAGGTTTCATTCTGACTATGTGTGCTATTCATACATGTGATCAATAAAACTGAATGGTTTCTGGTGATACAGTTGATGTGTCATGAATGAAGTCTTTACCTATCACCACCGTTAACCTCTCCCATCTTATTTAAGGTTGCAGGAAAGAATCATAACAGTAAACTATTAGGTAGCACTGTGGGATGACATCTGCTACTGCCCTTAAGCCTCATATAATTTGATCATGTATTTCCCATCGTTTCTCCATTGTACTTTTCCCCCTCTCTGTAACTGCTGGGGCATGGTGATGGTTCTAATAAGAAGGATCATACAGAGTACTATTGAGAGCTCCCTTGAACTGCTCCATGCTGTTGCTGCCTCAGCATCTGTCTGGGGAGCAGGCAGCCTGCAGGTCCTTGAACTCACACCAGCCAGTCCTGTGAGCACCTGCTCTAGGGGACCCCCTTCCTTGAGACCAGCAGTCTTGCTGAACCCCAGGGCCTACTTAACAGGCCCCCCTTCACTGACACCCTCAGAACTCATCAGAATCCTATTCCTCTTGGTTTGAATGAACCCGTCCACACTCAGGCTGGGGAACCCACAGCGCCTCACCCAGGGTCACTTAGAAAGGCCTGAACCCCAAGAACTGCAGCTTTCTCTGCCTGGTTCTAGCCTGACCTCCCTCAGAAATTCCCACCCTAAACCCTCCCCTTCTGAGAGCTCTCAGCTGTGCTGGGTGTGAGGGCTGAAGCTCAGGGCTCCTGAGTGTGGGTCTTGGGGGAGAAATATCAGAACAGAGAACATGCTAAAGACGTATTTAATGAACCCACCTCAGACCTGCAGATTCATAACTTCTTAGAGTGGGGACCTGACCTCGAGGGGTTCATATTCACTGATTTCTGAACCATTGGCCAAGTGATTTCCATCTGTTTCCCATCAGGGTCACATGACCAGTGTTAGGAAATGACCTCCCCAGTGCCCTCCCCAGAGTTTTTCTATTAGTCCTGTGGGAGCACCAGTGTGGTGTGTAGGAAGTGCTCCAGGGGATTCTAAGGGGGGGGGGGGGGTGGCCGGGTTAAGGACGTGGCTCCTTGTCTATTTGTGAGACCTGAGGCCCGGCGTCAGTCCGCGGAGAAGCAGCAGGGTTGGTCTAGCTGGATTTGGACCGGGGAAGTCAACTCACATCATCTGTGTGAGCAGAGGGTTAGGAGCTCTCTATGGGGAGAGAACAATCAAGAAATAAGTCCATAGGCTGGTCTCCAGGCAGGAAGTGATTGTTCCTGAATCTCTCCTGAGAGAGGGCAGGAGGGGTGGGTCTTTTCAGCTTTTCAAGGTCCTTTTGTCTGTAGGTGAAGTAGTTGCAAGTTAAAGAGCTGTGAGGATGCCTTTGAAGGTATTTTCTCAAGATGCAGATGTGAGTTTGCGACGTAACATCCCCAGAGAAGATACAGAGCAGGAGGAAGAAGAGGAAGAAATGGCAGCTTCTCACGTACGTGTCCTCTCCCGGGTCTGGGGCTGTGTCTGATTTTCTTCCTGAAATGCCTGGACTGAGAACCTGCAAACCTTTAGTTCTCTGCCTCTAACTTTTCTGCCTGGGTGTTTGTTATTAACTTCTTTATTTTTTCCCTTTCTTCTTATCATAGTGAAGCCTGGCTCTTTAGACCACTTCTCCCTTGTGTCCCAGAATCTTGTCTCCCTTGTCTGTGTCCTGGCTTTCTATGGAGCATGATGAATTCTCAACCTGAATTAGCAACTTTCAACTGGTGAATATATCTCTTTGTGAGAGATAAACACGGAGAGGCACTGGTATCTGAGATTCCCACTGGGATGTGGTTCGGTGTTGGGGTCTTAGGGAACTAGGGGAAATGCCATGATGAGTTTACATGTGCATGCAATTTCAGCTCTTTAGGAGTTAGAAAAATGTCCTTATATATTGAATAAACCCAGTGATCCAGAATTTTTCAGAAAATGCTCAGAAATAAAACGAAAACTAGGAGATACTGTCCTCTGTAATGCTAAGACTTACTAGTTAAACATATTGTTAGGATACAAAATGGAGGAAATATATGAAATGAATTTTGCATAAAACTGATATTTTTTTATGTTAGGTTCAAGTTATAATTTCCTTTTTTTCCTGAGATGTCCAGGTTCTGATAGTGCATCTTCCGTGTGATCCATTTACAGCATGACAGATGATGTCCACTGGCTCTGGTGATTTCTCTGAGATTATCAGGTTATAAAGTTCATTTTCTTTTCCTCTGTCTTTAAACAAGGCTGTGGAAAAATGGAATGAGGAACATGTGAAAACCCTCACAGTTAATGGAGAAACCCCACATCTTCTTGGTTTCTCTTTGCTTTGGAAAATGAACACTCACTGTGTTGATGACACATACTGGGTTTTGGGAGTGGGAGTTTTCATCACTCAAGCCCAAGTGTGATGTTTCCAGTACTCTCCACGCTCATATCACAGACATAGTCTTCGTACTCACATCTTTGTATTTTTTTTATCAAAATATTTGCAACAATCATATTGGTGCTAATCTGTTTTCACCTGTGTTGAATTTCTAAGACACAGCTCAACAAAATGATAGAGTTGTTCAAGAAATTAAAGTTTCAGAACCAATGTCTCTAATTTATCTTATAACACTGTATATGTTTGCACCCTAGTATATTTACAGTATACAAAGTATATCATCCACAAGTAGATGTATATATTTTAACACATTAAAAATAATCTCGATTTTATTGACATGAATATGAATGATTGAACTGAACTGAACATGAACTGAACTGAATATGAACTGATTTTATTGACATGAATATTGATTTTATTGACATGAATATGAATGAGCTGAACCGAAATGAACTGAACTGAGCTGAACTGAACATGAACTGAACATGAATCAGTTCGGTTTAGTCGCTCATTCGTGTCTTACTCTTTGCGACCCCATGAACAGCAGCACTCCAGGTCTCCCTGTCCGTCACCAACTCCTGGAGTTTACCCAAACTCATGTCCATTGAGTCAGTGATACCATCTAACCATCTCATCCTCTGTCGTCCCCTTCTCCTCCTGCCTTCAAGCTTTCCCAACATCAGGGTCTTTTCAAATGAGTCAGCTTTTCGCATCAGATGGCCAAAATATTGGAGTTTCAGCTTGAACATCAGTCCTTCCAATGAACATCCAGACTGATTTCCTTTAGGATGGACTGGTTGGATCTCCCTGCAGTCCAAGGGACTCTCAAGAGTCTTCTCCACCACCACAGTTCAAAAGCATCAATTCTTCTGTGCTTAGCTTTCTTTATAGTCCAACTCTCACATCCATACATGACTACTGGAAAACCCATAGCCTTGACTAGACGGACCTTTGTAGACAGAATAGTGTTTCTGCTTTTTAATATGCTGTCTAGGATGGTCATAATTTTCCTTCCAAGGAGTAAGCGTCTTTTAATTTCATGGCTGCAGTCACCATCTGCAGTGATTTTGGAGCCCCCCAAAATAAAGTCAGCCACTGTTTCCACACATTCCCAATCTATTTGCCATGAAGTGATGGGACCAGATGCCATCATCTTAGTTTTCTGAATGTTAGCTTTTCCTTAATACTCTTAATATGTATATAGTCTCATTTTAATATATGCCTGTGTGCATGAAAATGTTAAAATTATTTTTTTTCTTGTTTTGGTATTCTCCCCAGTTATATAAAGTTCTTTTTAAAAAATACACGTGGGGTACTCTTTTGCCCCCTTCTGATGCCTATGTCAGAAGCTTTCTCTATCTCCTTTATACTTTAATAAAACTTTATTACACACACACACACAAAAATAAATAAATAAAAAAATAAAAAATACACGTATTTATGTTTGTCTGAGTTGTGTCTTGGTCGTAGCCTGCAAAATCTTGGAGCCATGCGGGAGACTTTGTGGCAGCAGGCACACTTTAGCTCTGGTGTGTGGGATCTAGTTCTCTAACAAGGGACTGAACCCAGCCCCCTGACTTGGGAGCTCAGACTACCAAGGAAGACCCTATGAAAGCTTGTGTACACTTTCTTTAATGTTGTCTCTGTGTATTTGTGCTTTACTAGTTAAATTTTAGTTCACATAAACTGAAGCAAATTCAAGATCTGTCATTTAATGAATGTTGGACAAAATATTTGCAAAACGGTGGAACAACAATGTTGTTGATTTTATATTATGTATGTGATACATTCAAGACCCTGTAAAAACTTTTAGAAAGACATATAGTATATACTAAATAGTTCAAAGGATTATTGTTGCTATAGGTACTATTCTATCAGACCTGTCAACTTTGTAAAACACTTAAAATTCAAAGTTAAGTGTAAATTCTTACCTTAGTGGTCTACCTCTTTGCTATTCAGAACAGTCATTCATGTATCAGAATTTTCAACATTACTAGTTAAAATAAGCTTGTTAAAAATGCTGTACAGTGGCCCCACTGCAGAACTCTTAGATCAGAGCATCATGCTTTTTAAAAATATTTCCTGTTTCCTTGATAGGGGGCTTCCCTGGTGGCTCAGATGGTGAAGAACCTGCCTGCCATGTGGGAGACACGGGTCCGATCCCTTGGTGGGGAAGATCCCCCTGGAGAAAAAAATGGCAACTCACTCCAGTATTCTTGCCTGAAAAATCCCATGGACAGAGAAGCCTGGCATGCTACAGTCCATGGGGTCGGAAAGAATCAGACATGACTGAGTGGCTAACATGCTTTCCTTGATAGACAGTTTATCTTGTGTCACATGAGTACAACTCTCAAAAATAGATGTCAGTGTTGATGCGATTGTTTTATAATTTGTCTTCCAGATCAGAATAATTTCTATAGTGGTCTGTGGATCATATCTCATTCTCTTTTCTTGGGGTTAGAAATACAGTGGAAAATACGGTAGTATAAAAATTATATTCTTGTGTAACACCAGACATTCTCCTGAATCAAAACCATATCTCTTGCTGGTTTCAACTTGGGTCACATTAGGAAGTCTTCCCAGGTCCACGTGGCTCATGTCCTTTATATTTCAGGGGCTGTTGACATTCCAGGATGTGACCGTGGATTTCACTCAAGAGGAGTGGGAATGCCTGGACCTCAGTCAGCGGGAATTGTACAGGGACGTGATGTTAGAGAACTATGGGAATCTGGCCTGCTTGGGTGAGGATCACTTGCTTCCAGAATCCCTTATGTATCCTCAGGGTTTTGGTTCATTCATTCTAGAATGTCTCCTGGAATTTTTTGCTTTGTCCAGTTGAGGGTAAGATCCCTACTTTCCAGGGGAAAGTAACCTTTCTTGATGCAACCTGCCTCCTTGTTGTTCAGTCGCTAAGTCATGTCCAACTCTTTGCGATCCCGTGGAATGCAGCAAGCGAGGCTTCCCTAGCCTTCTTTAATTCCCAGAGTTTGCTCATATTCATATCCACTGAGTCAATAATGCTATTCAACCATCTCGTCTTCTGCCACTCTCTTCTCCTGCCCTCAATCTTTCCCAGCATCAGGGTCTTTTCCAATGAATTGGCTCTTCGCATCAGGTGGCCGAAGTATTGGAGCTTCAGCATCAGTCCTTCCAATGAATATTCAGGGTTGATTTCTTTAGGATTGACTGGTGTGATCTCCTTGCTGACCACGGGACTCTCAAGAGTCTTCTCCAGTGCCACAGTTCGAAGGCATCAGTTCTTTGGTGCTCCCCCTTCTTTATGTTCCAAATATCACATCCATACATGACTATTGAAAAAAACCAAAGCTTTGACTATACAGACTTTTGTTGGCAAATTGATGTCTCTGCTTTTTAATATGCTGTCTTTGTCATAGCTTTGCTTCCAAAGGGCAAGCATCTTTGAATTTCATGGCTGCAGTCACCATCTGCAGTAATTTTGGAGCCTACCCCCCCTCCCAAAAGTAAATCTGTCACTATTTCCACGTTTCTCCTATCTATTTGCCATGAAGTGATGAGACTGGATGCCATGATCTTAGTTTTCTGAATGTTGAGTTTTAAGCCAGTTTTTTCACTCTTCTCTTTCACCCCAATCAAGAGCCTTTTTAGTTCCTCTTCAATTTCTGCCATTAGAGTGATACCATCTGTATATCTGAGGTTGTTGGTATCTCTCCTGGTAATCTTGATTCCAGGTTGTGATTCATCCAGCCCAGCATTTCACATGATGTACTCTGCATAGAAACTAAATAAGCAGGGTGGCCATGTACAGCCTTGATGTACTCCTTTCCCAATCTGCCACCAGTCAATCGTTCCATGTACGATTCGAAATGCTGCTTCTTGATCTGCATATACTTCATTCTAGGTCCGTGGTAATTCTGTAAGTTCTGTGGTATCAAATAGTGCCACTCTCCTCTTAAAACCGGAACTCCACTACCTGCTTTTGCCTTAGTAGTACTTGAGCATAATACCAGAATCTGATTTTGATGCATTTGTCTTTTAAAGATGCTTCCAATAAACTATTTGGTGAAATCATTTTTTTAATGCTATTTTAAATTTCTACCTTGACTTCTCTCTCAGCTGAATACATATTGGATAGGAAATTGATGACTATCTCAGAAAACACATATTCCTTTTTCTGATGAACAGGTCTTGTGGTCTCTAAGCCGGACCTGATCACATTTCTGGAGCAAATGAAGGATCCCTGGGATGTAAGGAGAATGGAGACAGCCATATACCCAGGTATGTGTCTATGGATGAAGCAGATAACTCGGGTGAGAGGGACAAGCATTGGGGAGGAAGTCATACTTTGTCGTGTTGTTTGAGAAGATCTGCTTCAGTGTAGATGATTTCGGATTAGCCTAGGTTTATTTCTGTCACTGTCATAGAGCCTCCTCTCCTGACCCATTCCTGATTCTTTTTATCATTTGTGTATTTTTCTCCGGTGATTAATTTTCACATTCACAGTTAGAACCAAAATATTTGTCTTGGCCTGGAACAACCTGCATGACCTGATAACTCGTCCATTTTGCGGAGGTTTTAGAAACTCTGTGCATATTTCTGAGTAACTATATTAAGCCCTTTTAAAAGTGCTGATTCTGTCCCTAGTCAGAAGTGTGTGGGTGGAGCTGTGAAAAAATTGCCAAACTTCTAGGAATACTGGGGACAGATGTTTTTTGTTTTCTACCATATAATTTCCAGTCCACTGGAATCTACACATATGACCTTAAAAATATCATGTTCAAATTCTTTGTTCACTGCATAAGACACCTCTGTGAAATGAGAAAATGCAAATCTGAACTTTATGTTAAAGTTTCCTTTTTTTATATCAACTAACATTAAATGTGTTAAGTATATTTGCCCCAATTCATTAATGCTAGAATACTTTAATATGTTTATTTAACTCACAGAGTTTTTCAAGAAATTATTGATGTGGGAGTTTAGAACATTTCCCACAGTGCTCTTTTCTGATTGTTCTTCACTATTAAGCTTATAGATTATATAGAGAAATCTTTAAGAAGAAATTTTTCTGTTCCAATAATGCTATTTTACAATATTATGTGAGTTTTGCTGTACAGAAAGAATAAGTGATACATATACACATTTCCCTTCTTGAGTAGATTTCCTTCCCATCTAGGTCACCACAGAGCAATGAGTAGAGGTCCCTGTGTTCTCACCATATTTTTCAAGTCTCACTTCTCATTTTGTTTGTTAAGAACACTTACCTTATTAAATCCATCTTGTCTGTTATGAAAGATCCCAGGACTTTATCGTTCATGCCATCTATTTCTGATTAGTTCTAGGTCAATAGCATTTACTATTTTAGACTTTATTAGAACATGCTCAGATAACAACATGAGTGGTAAGTGGGTTAAATAATTAGTAGGCATTAACATTTGTGAAAACGTTTTGTTTGTAAGTTTGATTACTTAAAGCAGAAATTACTCATTACACTGCTCAGCTGCTCCTCGCTTCGTTGTTCCTGTAGGTTTCTATCTTGACTTCTCCTCTGCACCATACTCCTTTGTCATCTCATCTTGTCCAATGTTCTGTGTTTGCGGTCTCTGTTCTGCAGGCTGCAGATCCTAGTTCCTCTTGCTCTGGTGTCTGCCCCGTGGTGGGTGAGGTGGTCCAGAGACTTGTGCCCTTATGTCCTTGAGAGGGGGTTGACTGTTACTCTTGTGACCAGAGCCTGCCTGGATCTTGAGGGCCGCTTCGCCTTTCCTCTGTGGCTGTCACTGTCTGTGGCGGGGTCTGCATCCTGATTGGTGGAACAGAGACCCCAGATCTGAAATGAGCTCTGCTCTGATCTGTGGTGCTTCTGATCTAGTGGGACTGGAGCACATCCACTGGGAGGGAAGCCACTGAGTATTGCTCCTCTGGAGATGTTCTCCTCGGAGAGTGCTCTGCGAGTCATCTTTCATGTACTATGCGAGCTCTCGTGTGACCCGGTGTTGGCATTGTTCTTGGCCCAACCTGAACCATGGGTATGCTTGCACTTGACCCTGGTGTCTCTCAGATGTTGTTTTCACCAGGTCACCAGCAGAGATCCACTGTGGTCACATCCCAGGTGTACATTCATTGTGGAGCTGGACCCGCTGCGGTGCTATGGGGGCAATGTAGACTGTGACCTGGCCCAAATGCCTCCTGTGCATGCCTACAGAGTCTACAGTTGCTAAAGCCAGATGGGCCTTGACTGCCAGAGCCTCATTTCCATCCAGATGTTCTGTTGGGGCTGAGTTTACCAAGCCAGTTGTAGGGTGTAACACCATGGTTTGTACAGATGCAAGGAGAGATCTCAGGTTTTCTTGCTTAGTGGTAGGGCCTTGGGGCTCAGCTGTGGTTTCAGCACCACCTGTCCATTGGGACCACCCACAGGCATGTGCTCTGAAGGTGCCCCTGGAGCCCATGAGTCTACCCTGGTGGTGAGGAGGCTGGGAAGAGGAAAGAGCTGTGGGGGTCGTGAGATCACCCACCTAGGTGGGAGCCATTCCTAGTGCCTGGAGAGGCAGGGATAGGCAGAGGGGCAGAGAGGCTGCAAGGAGGTTCTTCCCTTTGGGCATCACTCAACAGTGCCGGTCTGCTTCTCTGGTGGTTCAGGCTTCCTCCACAAGCATCCCATTTGCAGAGCTGCTCCCTCCGTCCCATCCCCTCAGGATGTCTGCTCACGGCCAACCACAGTCCTCTGCCTGGGTCTGCTCTCCAAACGCCACGTTCCAGCCCCCAGCCCTTGTCTGCAGCAGAGGACACCCTCTCACGCTGACTGGGCAGGGCAGAGGTCAGTACCCTGCATGCAGGTCTCACTCTGTCCTGCACGCTGGTTGCTGTGTTCTCTTCCCACAGAGAAAGAGGCTCCCTTTCTCTCCCAACTGAACCCCCCCCAATGAGGGGCTTCCCTGGATGTGGAGACCTCTCCTCTCTTCAGATCCCCCAGGGTTTTGCAGGTCCCATCCTGCTTCTTTTCCTCTTCCCTTTCCTCCATCACTCTTTTGTCCTACCTGGCTCAGCAGGAATCGTTCTTGTCCTTTCAGGTGTCCAAGTTCCTCTGACCATGTTCCGCAGGGCTTTCTGAGAATTTTTCCACTTCAAGATGTATTCTTGATACTTTTGTGAACAGAGATGAGCTCCACGTCTTCCAAATCCTGTGCCATCGTGACTCCTTCTATCTCAGTTTTAGGCTTAATCTAGCGAAGTGTATGCCAATTTTATGTAAATTGTAAACTATAGTCCCCAAGAATAGTAAGTAGAATAACTTATTATTTGGTATCTTTCAGCTGTGTCTTCTCACGACTCCCAGGGTTTGAAGACCCAAAAGCCAGGCTTAGAAGATTTACTCCCAACAGCAAAGCTAGGAATATATGAAAGATTTCACCTTGGAAATTTACATTTAACCAAAGACTGGCAATCTATGAGGCCATATAAAGAGCGGAGAGCATGTTATGATGGATACAACCAAGTTGGTACAGTTTTCCATAAAGTACACATTACTGCCAAAAGAAATCAAGGATGTGAATCAAATAAGGAAAAACCAATTTCAGATGACCAGTTTCAGTCATCAACATCTGCAGATAAGTGTATATTTGTCAGCAAAGGCCCACATCATCTCTTGAAACGTACATGTTCTCTGAAGGGAATTGTGGAAAATCTGGAAAGTCATCTAGTCTCTACTGCAAATACTCATTCAAACCTATACTCTGAGCATAGCTGTCTATTAAATATACATTCA